AACAATTTGGCAGGCCGCGGATTTTCTCAAACTTGGACTTTATCTCCTCCATTTCACCATGCTTTGTAGGCCAACAAAGATGGTGCAGCCCTCTTTCTTCCATTGCTTCCACAAACCTCCAGGTAATGTGAGAAACGGTTGATCGGTTTATCCCAAATGAGTCACCGATGCTCACTAAGGACTCACCAGAGCTAAGCCTCCTAAGAGCGACAGCAACTTGGTCATTTAGAGACAACTGCTTTCCATTTGAATAACTGAAGTTTGAGCTGCTAGTCATCATTTCTTCCTTTACAAGTGAACAGATGTAACTGAATGTCTTTCTCGAAACTTTGAAGACAGATTCAAATTTCATTCTGTCTTTTGATTTTGATTGAGATAAAGGGCCTAGAAAGTAGAGAACAGAAATATAATCATTTATCAATGTGAGTTTTTAGAACCTCTATGTCAATTCCCATAGCAGAACCAAAAGATTAGAAACCTTTGTAGAAGAGGATAGAATTCATTTAATCGCAAGAGTTAGAGTTTTGATGTAGTCCAAATTGTAGTCAACTCGAACACAAGCAAAGTCAAAAAAGAAGATGGTGCAAATTTAAGTTCCTCACACAACAACATAACCAAAAGTCATTTCACATAGCAAGACTTGTGAAAAAAGTTATTTGCTAAACTATTACAAACAATCAATCAATTCCTTACTAATAATTACTTTGTTAAGCAAATGTTTGAAAGCTAATCTTTCAGGGCTTTAGGTATTTGGTATAATCACATCGCTAAAACCTTATGCCTTTCTGCTGTACAACTAGCAGGTGGACCTCAAACTTATTCTGGGAAAATTTTCTTTCTTAACAATAAGACTGCACAAACCAAAATCATTGAATGCATGATAAAATGAGCATATTTGTAAACACTAAAAGGACACCAAATGAAAAGGCAGATAACGCCACTGTACTTATTCTCGTTTGCTTACTTTGTTTCAATCTTCGTTTGCTTACTGTTTCCTTTTCTTCTTAATTTTTTACAAACCACAACAACTGATTGTTTTTTACTTCTACCAAAGAAAATTAGTTTGCTAGATTCCCATCATCTTTTTTAAAGATTATGCTACCTACTTTATCCAGATAAGCATACTGATACTCTCATTTTGGACTAACAAGCAGCTTTTTAGTTCTGTGAACTACTCTCCCACCTGATCAGGCCAAGGAATGGTAGAGCTTCACAATGGATCCCCCTAAAATGGTTGACAGAGCAGCAAGCAGGAAAGCTATCTCATTTGTAATTGGAAAGACTCAATTGAGAAGTCTGCATATTTTGATTTCATAAGAAAAGTACAGAAAAGTGCAATAAGTTCACTTTTTTCATTAAAGAACAGCACTTTGTATTGTTTTAAACAAAGAAATTAGAACAATCCAAACCTAGAGGATACCTTTGTCAACAGAATTTGAAATTTATAGATTACCTTAAAATACAAGAAGATTTAGAACAGTTTCTATCAGCATCTCATCAGAATAAATACTCTTCAACTAACAAATTAGACTTCTGAACCCAATTCTCAGGACACAACGAAAACAAAACATAGGTGCCTGATTGTTCTTTGTTTGCCTACAAATGTTTTCCAAATCAGTTCTCTCACTTTGTTTCAATTTTTTACAGTATTGATTTTGGCCAGTCCAATCCCAATACAGTTTAGAATCAAGAATACAGGACAGCTACTTTTTCAATTAAGTGACCCCTCATCCAAACATATATTGTTCTCAGGAAATAGCACAATACTAAGCAAAAGACATTGAACGCCAATGCCAAGAGATCCCTATAACTATATGTTGGGTAACTAAGTAAGCAGTGGTCAAGCATACAAACAGGCTTTCCAGAATCTAATCAAGAATACAGTGCATATTCACGGTGACGAACCTGAATTTATAGTATCAAGATAATATACAAGAAGGCTGAAGAGAAGAAAATGCATACACTATGAAGGGAATGTTTACCGCAATCTTATCTCAAGAAAAACATACATCACACATTACTACAATCTAACAATCTAATAATTGAGAACTAGATGTAGCCTGTATTGGAATCTCAGCACATACTTAGACCAAATTTCTCTTTTGAACACTAACAGGATTGCCTGCTAATAGAGACATTAAAAATCAACAAAACAACAATAACATAACCAGCAAAGAAAGTATTGATCGTTTTCAGAATTATAAATCAGGAAACTGCTAACAAAGTTCTTAATTTGCATCGTTTTATTTCAAGGAAATAATACATATAAAAACTCAATCTTATAGTTAACAACAGAAATGAGTATTGACCTATGTCATTAGATTTCACCTGATACAAGGAAAACCTAAAATGGTGGCTTCAATTATCACCACACTAGGCATGCTGTGCTCTGTCTGAGCAATACCGATGAGGTAGGAGAAACTAGAGCTCGATAAATCAAATCAACAGAAGCTAAGAACTGTTAGATTGTAATAATATATACCAGAAATCCACTTGCAGAAGTTATCCTTTATGCACAATCACAACAAACATACATGCATTAGAAAATCAATCCAATTCTTCAAAACTGCATTGGACCCAAGTCCTAATATATCATCAAATACTCATAAACAACAAACCAGATATACCCACTGAGAGCCAAACCAATGCATATATTTACAGTCAACCCAATAAAACAAATTAACCAACAACCCAAGTAAAAGATAATGCGAAACACAAAGCACTTGAGGAATATTTGTACCAGTAATTCTCTGAGAGAAGTCGTCCCACCAATCGATGGGCTGGGGTTGAGAACTCAGTGAAGCAGCTGCAGCTAACACATTCTGGTCAACCTTCTTCTCTGTCTTCTTCCTCCTCTTCATCCCTCTAACGGGTCCCATTTCAAAACTTTGAAGGAAACAAACTCGGGCAAGTCAAGGCTCAAGTGTCAACCAAGAAAATTAAAGAATCTCATACAATTCAGAGGGAGACGGAGAAAACCCATTAATCAAAAACCTCCAATTTGAAGACAATGGAAGAAACAGAGATGTTGAGCAAAAGGAACATGATGCATATATGTTATATATGTGGAAGAAGATGGTTTGGCTTAAAGGGTGGGGTTAGAAGATGAAGGTTTGTAACTTTGTATATATGTACATACATATATGTGATGCGCGATATATAAATATAGGTGCTAATTTTTGTTGGATTTCAAAGCATGCAATGCCAATGTTAACAAGTTGAAGAAAAATACGTTAAGGAGAAGGTGGAGAGGTGGAGAGGTGTAGAGGGAGCCAAACAAGTTGTGATTGCAAGTGACGCGGGTTGGTATTTTTGTTCAGGGCAAGACAATGAATATTAAGTTCTGGACATGAGGCACTTCCTACCTCTTTCTTTCGCTCTGTTTGTCTATTTATTATATCATATCTCTTTTTCAACAACCAAAAAAATATTAATTCTTTTTTGGTTTAATGATAGTTTTCTTCTCAAGTTTACAAGAGGTTTATGATCGAAACTACTATCTCTCGTTTTTTTTGTCAACATTGGAAAGAGACGGGGGTTTTCTTACGCACACTGTTAATGTTTTCGGGAGCTCGAACTTGAGATCATTGGTCCATAAGTCAAGGGACTTTACATTGGACTAGACCGTAAAAGATATTCCCATCTCTGATTGATTAAAAAAAAGTTTCTTCAACAAAGCATCACTCACTACCAATTGTTATTTATTTACTTATTTTGTGCCGTAAATAAAAAAATTATGAGTTTGCATGATACTCGCATATTATTGTAAACAAAAAAATATTGAAGTATTTTACCAGCAATGTATTTTGGTGACTAAAAGTTAAAATTGAAGTGGAAAAATTCATCCAATGGCAGCCAAAAAATATGGCGTGCTTGTAAGAAGGAAATGGGATGTTTGGTGTCATTAATTTATGAAGGGATGATGGTTGACCCAGCTCCCAAATCTGTCTTTTTTGTTTTTCCTTGCAATTTTACTTTTGAACCCAGTTCCAAGCTTTTCTCCACCTCATCTTAACAGCTTCTAATTTGATTTTTTTTTTTCCAATAAAAAAACTGAAGACCGTAATATATACTTCATTAAATTTATATGTAACCAAATTATATCCTTCCCAAGAAAACTCCGGACTTATAGCTGAATCCTCTTCAATTTTTTATGTTTAGTTAAATTCCGAGTTATTTTTCTCCATTCAAATGGAGGGTAGATGAATTCATTTTATGTAAAATTTAGACATACATTCCAGGTAGGGTGAGAAAATTGAGGGTTCAATCTTTTTCCTTTTTTTTTCTCTTTTTTTTCCAAGTAATAAGAATTACAAATTGAAAGAAAATATAAAGTGAACTTTCGTCTCAGCTCATGATGGTTTGGGAGCTCATTAGACATCAAAAGTTTTGGAACGCATCACACACCAGTGTTCTTAAACTTTTTCTGATCTTATTTATAAATAAAAAATAAAAAATTCTGATCTTATTTAGAGAAGAATAAAAAGCCATTTTTGTCCTTGGGAACAAAGAAACATGGAACTACGTAAAAATGTGTGTACAGTATACATGGCCCCACAAGGCTTTGTATATCTGACAGTATATGGGCCTATAAATGTTCTAATGTACTTGGTTGGGTTGGCTCAGGCTCAGTTAAGCCCATCTTCGAATAAAACCATAGTCTGCTAACTCAGATAAAAATCCTTGGTCTTTTCAATAACATATACAAAGTGTTAAGACTGCTAACTCAGATATATATGCTATATATACTTTCCTCCAACAGTGAGAAGAATACCAATTCAGTTTTCATATACTTACAATGAGCAAAAGAGAAAACAATTCATCGTTCCTTTTTGTTTTTTTGTTTTTTAAAATGTTACAAATACAATCAATACACATACACATTAACCCTATCTACCACGAAGGTTCGAACCTGATATCACAGGTCTGCAAGTCAATACTCTTTTCCACTAGATTAGATCCCGTTGGCAACACTTCATCATTCCATTTGACATGGTGAGTTTAGGCAAGAATAAAAAATTTCTTTATCAATAAGAGAGAAACATCTCAGTTCTACAAATCTTTGCCTCAAACTAAGCTGCAATCTGTGGCTTTCAGCCTATTCGAACAATTGATAGTTTGATGAGAAGGATAATATGTTTTTCCAACATATAGTTAACAGGAAAACGTAGGACACTGTACATGCTTGCATTGTTATCAGCAGATTGCTCCTTTGGAAAAACTGAAGATATATGACCCTTTTCACCAGACGCGTGGCACGTCCTTCTCTTAATCTTACCACTGATGGCACTCAACCCACCAGTATCAGCTCCTGTACATTGAGTTGTAGCTACTGGTATTGAATTGGTACTTCTTGTTAAAGCTACTGGTATCAATCAGTACTTGTAGTTGTAGCTATGGATGTTGATTGGATACTTGAAAACATTGCTGAAATTGGACAAGCGGATAAGAGATGTCCCTTTTCACCACACCGGTAACATGTCCTCTTAATCTTACGACTGATGGCACTCAACCCACCATTATCAGCTTCTGTACCTGTAGTTGTAGCTACTGGTATCGAATTGGTCCTCGTATTTGTAGCTACTGGTATCGAATTGGTACTTGTAGTTGTAGTTAATGGTATTGAATCAGTACTTGTAGCTGTAGCTATGGATATTGAATGGGTACTTGAAAACGTAGTTGTAGTGATTGGACAAGCGGATGAGAGATGTCCCTTTTCACCACACCAGTAGCATGTCCTTCTCTTAATCTTACCACTGACGGCACTCAACCCACCATTATCAGCTCCTGTACTTGTAGTTGTAGCTACTGGTATCGAATTGGTCCTTGTAGTTGCAGCTACTGGTATCGAATTGGTACTTCTAGTTGTAGCTACTGGTATCGAATCAGTACTTGTAGTTGTAGCCATGGATATTGAATGCGTACTTGAAAACATAGTTGCTGAAATTGGACAAGCGGACAAGAGATGTCCCTTTTCACCACACCGGTAGCATGTCCTCCTCTTAATCTTACCACTGACAGTACTCAACTCAGTATTATCAGCTCTTTTATCTGTAGTTGTAGCTACTGGTATCGAATTGGCACCTTTGGTTGGGGCTACTGATATTGAAAGGGTACTCAAAGTCATAGGTGCAGATTTTGAAGGGGTCCCTAATCTTTTCTGAGTTACTGCACAGCTTATCTTGACAGGTCTTCCACATACAACCTTCTGATCTAACTTCAATGCCAGCGTCAGCGAGAGACTATCAGAGAAATTCACGTGAGCATAGCCTCGGAATTCCCCTGTTTCCTTATCCATACCAAAATGTATAGATGATATCTTGCAATCTGAGAAAAGTTTCTTCAGATCATCCTCAGTAATATCCCATGACAAATTTCCAACATAGATTCTATTGTACCCCTCAACAATTTGTGGGGCAAAATCAGATACTTTATTGGCTCGAGTTGCCTTGTAAGGCTGGATTTTCAGAAATAGTTCACCCCTGAGACAAAAAGAAGTTCCATTAGAATCACGAGAGAATTGGCCAATTCTACAACAAATTGAGTAATCAAAGAGAACCAAACTCACATTTCAGCTCCATCAAGAGCCAAGGCTCGTTTAGCGGCAGCTTCTGTCTGTAGAAACATTAGAATGTTGAGATGAGAAATGATAAACAATCTTGTATTCAGCATGAACTTAAATCGAAAAACAAAAGATTAGCATAAATTGATTCAGAGGTTGTGTGATGCTATTATTTCTACCACAGATTAGGCCACATAACTTCTACCATGCTGGAAAACTTATTTAACTGAATTTAGGCAGATCAACTACTTAGTGTCATCACAAAGAATACAACTAACTGACTTGTAAGATTTGTTCAAAAACATATTGACAAGTCGTATCAAAAGTGGAGGAGCCAGGATAATTTGGCAGCTCACCACTACTAGACTTTGCTTGTAAGATTTGTGAAGAGAATTTCAATTCCAAGTTACATTAGCAAGGACTTAAATACACAGTTTTCTAATTGTACCTAACTTAAATGCAGAAAATAATATATACAAAATTTCTTACCTTAAAGCTAATAATAGCAATTCCTCTAAACTTCCCACTGTCAGGAAACCTCAGACAATCAACTTCAGTTATTGTGCCACAGCTTTCAAAGTAACTTCCAATATCGTCCTCGGTCGAGTAATAAGGAATGCCTCCCACAAAAACTTTTGTAGGAACATCCCCATTCGCTTGCCTAAACGAAATGACAGAACACAAACAGAATGAGGCACAAAATACAGAACATATATTCACATGGAAAGCATATACCTTCCATTCAATCTATATTGCCTCCCATACCTTACACAATCAACCAATCTTCTACTAAACACTAGTGGTTCGAGTGTTGAGGTAAAATATAGGAACAGAGAAACTGAACCTACCAAAACAACAAATTAAACAATATCATAATCAAAACATAGTTGACAAAAAAAAAACACACAAATTCAACAAAGGCTACTATCTAAAATTACCTATCACTGTCGTTACCTATCTCTTTGACACTTTGTTCCTCAGTCCCAAGCTCACCATCCTTCTTCTCTTCCTCATTCTTTGCCTCCTTTCTCTTCTTCTTCTTATTCTTTTTCTTTGGCTTCTTAGCCTCCTCCTTCACAACCTCATTTTCCTCAGAACTCAAAGATCCATTTTCTTCCTCCTTATCTCTCTTCCTCTTCTTCTTCCTTTTCTTCTCCTCCTTCTTCTCATCCCCCAAATCCTCTGACCCAACTTCCCTCTTATCTTCCTCGCCCTTGTTTTCCTCAAAATTACCACCACTGCCACTCCCACTCACCGCCTCTGAACCTCGCAAAGCAAGGAGCTTTTTACGTTTCTCTGGCTTGGACAGTCTGGGTTTGTGAGTTGCAGAGTCCATATGCACTTTCAGCGACTGGGGCTTTGAATTCGGGTCTCGGATTTCCATAGAGGTATGAAGCGGATGTGCAACGGAGCCGGTTCCCACGTCAGAGGGTGCAGCAAGATCGGTGGGCGTCGATGTTGTGAGACGGTGAAGCGAGTTGGCTTTGTAGTCCAGCGGCACATGTGAGTTCCAAAATTGGGGGATTGGAGAATTGATGAGATGGGTGGTTGGGTAACTGGAACAGGCCGGATGTTCATACTGAGAAACGTTGGTTTGGGGGTTCCAATAGTATACCACCCCAAGGTTACCGTCGAACATGCCAGTCCATGGCGGTGGGAGTGTAGGATCGGAAAAATAGACGAGTGGAAGATAGTGAGGCAGCGTCGCTGGTGGATATTCATGCTGTCCCATGGTCGGAACGGCTCTTATATCAATTATTAGGTACCCAAGGAACACAAAAGGAAATTTCCGACCAAAAAAAAGGGACAGAAAAGGAAATAAAGCAGAAAAGGAAATTTCCGAGCATATAAGAGATTTAGGGGTGTATTCAATTGAGATTTTAAAAGACTATTTAGGGATAAAAAAAGTCTTGCGGATTTAAGCAGAATATAATTACTTTTAGGATTTTTTTAATGGATTTATACAATCAAGATTTTTTACTTATGATTTTAGAGATTTCTATTACAAAATTTATAAGATTTGAAAGGACCACATAAATTTCTTCTGGGATCGACATAATATTTATTTAGAAAAAATAAACCCTTAAAAATGAAATGCTAATATTGTTTCTATCTCTTCACCATCCCGACACCCACAAAGCTAACCTTCACTCTCGGCAGCATACCCTCCCACAGCCACCACACACACTCTCATTTGTGTATTGTGGTATGTGGAGTTGCATTCCACTTTTGTATGGATTTTTCAAGTAAACTATTTATCAGTACATCACATCGATCAATGCCAACAATTTCAATGCTTTTGGTTCTCACCTCTGTTAAAATCATTTATTTGTATCAAAATCTATTTTTGTTGTTGATAAAAGATGAAATTTCATTGAAA